GTTTGGTATTATTATTATTATTATTATTATTATTATTTTACACAATGACCCAACCTTTTCAGAACTGGGAGTTGTATTCAGCAGGTGCTCTCTAAGTGTCATAATCTACCCCACAGTAAAAACAAGTCTGTTGTTGAAGAAACCTGGTCGTGCAACAGTGTCTCACATTCAGACAAACGTAAACATTTATGCACACAAAATGGCCATTGTCTTGACAGGGCAGTTAGCCATCATTTTACCAAAGAGCCACAACAATCCTCAAATAGTAAACAATGCAATGCACAATGGAGGAAAGCAGGACAGCAACACATGTATTGTTAACTTCACAAACTCTGGTTTTCTGCATATTCTAGAATAAAACATGTGAAACTTGTTGTTTGGGATGCTCATTCATGTGATGGGGTGAATCTAACTTCATCTCAAGCTATACGGCCAGACTTCCAGCTTCACCCTAGTAGAGTGTGTTGATTTTAGAGCTAGTGAATATCAAACAGATGTGCAGGGAAGCTCTGTGGAATCCAAGCAGGACAGACAATCACACATTCAATCACTCTTTATTTGTCCTGGACCTGGAGCCTGGCAGTGTGTCAGTTTGATGTGCACTGTCATGGGTCTGAGAACCGAGCTGGTCCAAGTCGAGTCAAAAGATGCGTTTTGATTAGTGTGGTCTATTTCCGATCAATGGGGACCACACTTCTTCGCTGTAACAAAAATAAGCGTTTCTATTTTTAATGGGGGTGTCTGGTTTCCGACATAGCAGAAAAGAGGAACCGTAAAGAGATGAAACAGCGCAACTGGTAACTTTTAGTTGAGACACGTAGCAACAACTTGTGTAAGATTAGTGTGACACAACAGCTCAGTCTTGACTAACTTATAAATGTTGTTAAACAGCCTTTATGAGAAAACAATGGCTCACCCGGTGAATCCTCTTCCACCCCCCAATGGTTGCCGGACCGACGGTCAGTGGCCGGGAGGACGGTGAGCTCTACCGAGGCTGCTCTGCTCTGTTACCGCTCTGTCCATTCGCTCCCCGGCGAGCCGTGAGGAAAGCCCTGCCCTGAGCTGCTGAGACGAACGAACTCACCCAGACAAGTTTAAGCTGTTCTTGTCCTTTTATATAAACCTACTTTCTCCACATGCTCTGTTCTTTTCTTTCCTTTCTTCCTGCTGATAGGTTCCCTTCCGAATCCGTCCGTCCGTCGTTCAGCCTCCAACCCCACCAAGAGAAAGCAGGCGCGGCTTGGAGGAGAAAGAAAAGAAGGGTGCGTTCACGGACTGTCGGGAAATATTAAAGCAAGGACGACCCGGTCATTCAAGCCACCGGTCCCTGATTCTCTTCTTTTTTGTCTCAATTTGTTTATATTTCTCAGTGTTGTATAAAGTACCTCAAAGTGATACTTGAGTAAAAGTACAAGTATCTTATCATAAAAATACTTTGGTAAAAGTTAAAGTCTTCTCTAAAAATATTACTTGAGTAAAAGTCTTAAAGTATCTTATCATAAAAATACTTTGGTAAAAGTTAAAGTCTTCTCTAAAAATATTACTTGAGTAAAAGTCTTAAAGTATCTTATCATAAAAATACTTTGGTAAAAGTTAAAGTCTTCTCTAAAAATATTACTTGAGTAAAAGTCTTAAAGTATCTTATCATAAAAATACTTTGGTAAAAGTTAAAGTCTTCTCTAAAAATATTACTTGAGTAAAAGTCTTAAAGTATCTTATCATAAAAATACTTTGGTAAAAGT